GGGGGGGCGGGCCCTGCAACCCCCCCCACCCCACCTCCCCTGGGGCCAAAATAAGTGGGGACTAACTTTGCCCCCAGCCTTGTGCCCGTGATGAGATTTATTGCACGTGATGCAAATCCCTGCCGATGGATGAAACCGCTCTAGCGAGGGTCCCCCGACCCCCTCCCCAGCACCAGGGGGGCCGGGGCCACGGGAAGATCGCGGTGATGAAGTTATTAGCTCCAGAAGCACTAATTGCTGCTGTATTAATGGCTCTTTTGTCCGGCGAGCTGTCTTTTGGTGTATGTGTGCCGGGCGGTTGTTTTTCTGCCAGCTGCTGTGTGGTTGGATGCTCTTTGGTATTTAGTTTGATCCTATTAAGGTGGATCTCAATTAATTAGCCAGGAGGCAGAGAGACAAAGAGCGATGCCGGGGCCATTCATTTTAGTCTTGTCATCGCGCCTTCTGCAACCGGGAGGCAGTGGGGAGAGCTGGAAGGGACACGGGATGCGGCTGCTGGGCGTGAAACCGCTGGGAGATGGGGACAGGGCGGGCAGGTGGGGTGCCAGCGGGGTCCCCCTGAGGGTCCCCCGGTCCCCCCAGGATCCCCTGCCTGCTGCACAGGAGTGCCAGGCAGGCTGCCTTCCCAAGGCAGCTGGAGCCACCCGGGTCCCGTCCCCTGGGGCAGCGGGGTCCTGCTCCACCCCGCTGCCCATGGGACCCTAAAGCATCCCCCAAAACACACAGGGGATCCCTGGGAATTTCCACGGCGAGAGCTTTGGCGCAGCAGGAGCGTCCCCCCTCCATCCCGGTGTGATGCCGGCTGGGTACCACTGCCGCATCCCCGCGGGGCCACCCACCCCACGGGAACGGGGTGTGCCTCGGTGGGCTCTCCAGCACCCCGGTTTGAGCATCCTGCCCTGCGCCCCCCACTCACGGCTCCCCAGCACCCCGCATCCTGCCCTGCGCCCCCCGCCCCCCGCGGTGGAACGGCTCCAAGTGCCAAGTGGGGCCCCCCTGACATTCCTCCTTCCTTCCCTTTGAAGGACAAGTGCCCCTCGGAGCTGCCCTCGCTGCCTCGGCCGCTAATGAACGGGGCGGGAGGGGGGATGCTGCTAAAAGCCCGGGCGGGCAAAAAGCTTTCAAGACCCTTGGAAAGCCCAAAGGGGTGTCCGGGGGTGACCCCAATCTCTGCCGCCGGTGCCGGGGTTGAGGTGTCGGGGTGCACCCCGATACGCCGGCTGGCAGCAGGTG